ACGAAACGTGTGAGGGGTGTGCCAAAATGGGGCGGTGGCGCCATGCGAGCTGCGCCACTTGGACCGTAAATGGAGCTCCCTATGGGGCCACGAAACGTGTGAGGGGTGTGCCAAAAAGGGACGGTGGCGCCATGCGAGCTGCGCCACGTGGACCTTAGGTGGAGCTCCCTATGGGGCCACGAAACGTGTGAGGGGTGTGCCAAAAGGAGCTCCCTGAGGGGCCACGAAATCTGTGAGGGGTGTGCCAAAATGGGGCGGTGGCGCCATGCGAGCTGCGCCACTTGGACCTCAGGTGGAGCTCCCTGAGGGGCCACGAAACGTGTGAGGGGTGTGCCAAAATGGGGCGGTGGCGCCATGCGAGCTGCGCCACTTGGACCGTAAATGGAGCTCCCTATGGGGCCACGAAACGTGTGAGGGGTGTGCCAAAATGGGCGTGCGGGACGCATGCGGGCACACCCACTGGGACCTTCGGTGGAGCTCCGTATGGGGCCACGAAACGTGCGATGATGGCGACGAGGACAACGATGATGCTGATGACGACGATGATGGTGATGATGACGATGATGGTTATGATGGCGGCCATGATGTTGATGCTGATGACGATGATGATGATAATGATGATGATAATGATGATGATGACGATGATGATGATGATGATGACGATGAGGATGATAGGAGGGGAGAGGAGGCAGAGGAGGAGAGGAGGAGGAAGGAGACGCGGGGCACCGTCTCTTCAAAACGAGGACCCAACACCACAGGATGGTTGGGAAAAACATCAACAACAACTCCACACCATTCTGCGGAAAAAAAACAGCACACGGAGGGGGGGGCGCCCCTCTCGGGCCACGTTCGGGGGAGAGAGGGAGCGAGAGAGAGAGAGAGAGAGAAAAAAAAAAGAAAAAAAAGGAGAGAACAGCATCTTCATACGGTGCAACGGCTGCGACGGGGGAGAGAGGGAGAGGGGGAGAGATGGGGGGATGGAGGGAGGGAGGGAGGGAGGCAGAGGGGGGGATGGAGGGAGGGAGGGAGAAGGGAGAGGGGGGGGGATGGAGGGAGAAGGGAGAGGGAGAGGGAGGCAGAATGACTGCGACGGCTGCAGCGGCATGCGAGCACGGCGACGAGACGAGGAGGCAGGGGCCGGATGGGGCAGCAAGGCACGCTGGGGACGACAGCGAGGCGGACGGGACGCCTGTTTTGTAAAGCATAGCGCGCAAAACATTCTGCTTCAAACTTCGTGAAACGATTGAGAGGCCCCTCGCCGAGCAGACCGGGCCCCAACCGGGCACGCCGTGGGGAGAGCATGATACCTGAACCCCAGGGCGCGCAGAACCCTCCACATTAGCCTCGAGAACCGTCCTTGACGGGCTCGCAAAACCTTGGGGGGGATGCGGGACGGGATCCTGGAGGCCTCACGAAGTCCCTGGAGCTTCCTGGAGGTCCGTCCAGGGGCCTCCTGGGGACACGGACTCGGGAGGTCCAAGAACCCACCAACGACGCCGAAGAACCTCGATGCTCGGACCCCGAGGGTCGAGTGAAAGGAGGAGGAGGAGGAGGAGAAAGGAAGGGAAGGAGGAAGGGTGGAGAGCACTGAGACAACGGCAGAGGACAGCATCGGGCAGAGAAGAACTCGGAATCTGTGAGAGCCAGCGGGTCGAAAAGGACGCAGCGGGCGTCACAGCCGTTCCAGAGCACTCCCAGGGCGCTCTGAGAGCGGCCCAGAATGCCGCTGTTGTCCTCTCCCTGCCGTTCCAGTAGTGCTCTCCTCCTCACTCCTCCTCCCTCCTCCATCCTGCCTCCTCCCTCCTCAATCCTCCCGCCTCCCTCCTCTATGCATTCTCCTCCCTCCTCCCTCCTCCCTCCTCCATCCCCCCTCCTCCCGCCCTCCCTCCCTCGCTCCCTGCCTCCCTCCTCCTCCTCCTCCTCCTCCTCCTCCTCCTCCTCCTCCTCCTCCTCCTCCTCCTCTCCTCCTTCTCCTCCTCGGTACGCAGGGTCCAAGAACCGAGATTTGTGGCGTCGCTGGTAATTATCAGGCCTGCCTGGGGGCATCCCCCCCGAAGGCGCTCCCTGCTGGGGCCCGGCCGACCGATCCAAGGACGATCGCTGCACCCGCCCTGTCCAGCCGGGGAGGGCGCCAATCTTACGCGGGGCGTCCCCGCAAGTGCCGAGCGCGGACGGAGGGGGAATAACGCACCCGTCGTCTCCACTGGCCTCTGTGTAGCACCCCTCCTCCCCCTCCTCCTCCTCCTCCTCCTCCTCCTCCTCCTCCTCCTCCTCCTACTCCTCCTCGTTATCATCAGCACCACCACCACCACCACCATCAGCAGCAGCAGCATCAGCATGAACATCATCATCATGTTGCTCCTCGCCCTCCTCACCCTCCTCGCCCTCGTCCTCGTCCCCCTCGTCCTCGCCCTCCCCCTTCTCGCTGACCTGATCCCTAATCTTTCCTCTCTCCCCCTCCTCCTCCTCCTCCTCCTTCTCCTCCCCCTCGGTACGCAGGGTCCAAGAACCGAGATTTGTGGCGTCGCTGGTAATTATCAGGCCTGCCTGGGGGCATCCCCCCCGAAGGCGCTCCCTGCTGGGGCCCGGCCGACCGATCCAAGGACGATCGCTGCACCCGCCCTGTCCAGCCGGGGAGGGCGCCAATCTTACGCGGGGCGTCCCCGCAAGTGCCGAGCGCGGACGGAGGGGGAATAACGCACCCGTCGTCTCCACTGGCCTCTGTGTAGCACCCCTCCTCCCCCTCCTCCTCCTCCTCCTCCTCCTCCTCCTCCTCCTCCTCCTCCTACTCCTCCTCGTTATCATCAGCACCACCACCACCACCACCATCAGCAGCAGCAGCATCAGCATGAACATCATCATCATGTTGCTCCTCGCCCTCCTCACCCTCCTCGCCCTCGTCCTCGTCCCCCTCGTCCTCGCCCTCCCCCTTCTCGCTGACCTGATCCCTAATCTTTCCTCTCTCCCCCTCCTCCTCCTCCTCCTCCTCCCTCCTCCTTCTTCCACTCTGCCGTTCTTCGCCCCACTGGTCATCCCACTCCTCCTCTTCCTTCTCTTCCGCCTCACCTTCTGCTCCCACAACGGGCGGGGGGCTCACCTCCGGCCTGCACGACCGGACCCGGCTGCTCTTCGACAGGCGGGCGCCTCGTGCGTGGCCAGCTGGGGGGCCCGTGCTCTTGGCGGGCGCCCACGGGCGCCCCGAGCGGGCGCCCCAAGCGGGCGCCCCGCGGCGCAGTGGCTTTCGCGCCGGGGGGGGGGCCCTTGGGCGCCGCCTCGTGCGCGCCCCGTGCGTGGGTGCAGCTGGCCGTCGGGTGCTCGCCAAGGGGTGCGCCCCGTGGGCGCCTCGTCGCCGCCCACACGGCGCACACCACAGAGCTTGCACCACGTGTCCTACATGGAGGGCAAAAAGCCACCCCCACAATGGTCACCCCGACTCGCGAAGCAGTTCAGGAAACGCACCCAGAGAAGGAATCGTACAGGGAAGGGCTGTGTAGTAAACGCCCAGGGCCGTCTAGCAAACGCCAGTTATCGGGTCCGGGTGGCTGCCCCCCCTTGATTACATCCCCTAGCTTACACAACATGGCTTACACTGCATAGTTGTTCCACAGCTGGCCTTCCACCACACAGCTTGCACAGAGCATGGCTGACACAGCATAGTTTGCACCACATCGCATGCAATGCACGGCGAAAGGGGTATCACTCACACAGTTTGCACCACATTGCTTGCACCACATAGCTTACACCACATAGCGTACGCCGCATAGTTTACACCACATGGCTTGCACCACATCGATGACTCGACGTAGCTTACAAGTCATAGACGACGCCACATGGCTTACCATCTGGCGTGAAACACCAACATGCCTATGTATATGAATATATATATATGTAGACATGAAGATCTATAGTTATATATATATGTGTGTATATACGTGTGTGTGCGCATGCATGTACATGTACATATATATATATATATATATATATATATATATATGTGTACACACATGCATACATATGAATATACGTATGAGAGAGAGAGAGAGAGAGAGAGAGAGAGAGAGAGAGAGCGTGATCCACCGCCGCTTTACTGTGGAAAATTCCCCCCTCTTCCTCCGGAACCCGAGGGTCCCACCCCCCCCTTCGAAAATCCCTCCCCCCCTGCTGGACCACCCCCCCCTTCCCCCCGAACCCCCCCCCCTCCCTCCGGAAAAGGGGGGGGGTTCGACCCCCCCCCTTCCCCCTCCAGAAAACCGGGGGGGTCACTACGGGTTCGAACCCCCCCCCCTCCCCCCCCCACACTCACCGCCGGCAAACGACTTCCGGGTCCGCACCACCACTCCGCACCACATCCCCCACTGCTGTCCCCAGCACCACTGTCCCCCACCACCACTGTCGTCCCCACTGTTCCCACCACCGTCCCCACTGTCCCCACCAGTGCCCCCACCACTGTCGCACTGTCCCCACTGCCTCCACCACTGTTCCAACCGCGGTCCCACTCTCCCCACTTTCCCCACGGTCCCCAACACTGTCCCACTGTCCTCACTGTCCCCACTGTCCCACTGTCCCACTGTCCCCGCCGCTGTCCCACTGAGCTGCCCCATTGTTCCCACCCACCACTGTCCCCAGTCCCGACCACTGTCCCCACCGTACCTCTGTCCCTTTGTCCAACCACCGTCCTCGCCACCGCCCTCACCACTGTCGCCACCACCACTGTCCCCACTACTGTCCCACAGTCCCCACCACTGTCCCACTGTCCCCACACCACTGTCCCCACCACCACCGTCCCCACCACTGTCCCACAGTCCCCACCACTGTCCCACTGTCCCCACTGTCCCCACCATTGTCCCCGCTGTCCCCACCAGTGTCCCCACCAGTGTCTCACTGTCTCCACTCTCCCCACCATTGTCCCACCACGGTCCCACTCTCCCCACTTTCCTCACGGTCCCCACCACTGTCCCACTGTCCCCACTGTTCCCACCACTGTCCCACTGTCCCCACTGTCCCCGCCGCTGTCCCACTGTGCTGTCCCACTGCCCCCACTGTCCCCACCACTGTCCCACTGTCCCCACTGTCCCTACCACTCTCCCCACTCTACTACTGTCCCACCACCGTCCTCACCACCGCCTTCACCACTGTCCCCACCACTGCCGTCCCCACCACTGTCCCACTTTCCCCACCACTGTCCCGCTGTCCCCTGTCCCACTGTCCCCACACCACTGTCCCCACCACCACCGTCCCCACCAGCCACCACTGTCCCAGTACCCCTACCACTGTCCAACTATCCCGAGAAGCGGAAATCGTTTGCCGGCGGCGAGGGGGGGGTTCGAACCGGTAGTGGCCCCCCCTTTCATGATGGACTGGGGGCAAGGGGAGGTTCGAACCGGTAGTGACGCCCCCCAGTTTTCGAAGGGGGGGGGGACGGGTTGGGAACCCCCAGTGAGCCCCCCCCCCGGTTTTCCGCCAGCAGCGGTAGAACACGCTCTTTCATATATATATATATATAAACAATATATATATATATATATATATGTATACACACAAATCTACACCTACAAAAATACGCTGCATACATAGCTCACTCACCCAGAGAGCCACAACTCACTGGTTAGGATCCCACGCTAGCAAATATTATCACTGATATGTCTCTCCTCTTCCGCCTTCTCGTCCTCTTCACTCCCATTGTCAATATCATCATGATCTTCGTCATGATGTCCGTCCTCGTCCTCCGCCTACCCATGTCCATACCCGTTATGTGCTTTCCCCTCTGGAGCTGCACCCCGAATGTGAGAGAAAGGCAAGCTCGCCCGCACCGCGCTCGGCGTGGCTCTGCCTTCGTGGGCTGCTCTCTGAGCGCTCGTGGATATAGTACATGTTTCGGCGTCCACGGACAACACCTGGATGCCGACTGGAAAAGCAATACCAGCATGCGAGGGGAACACCTATCTCGGTCGGCGCGATCTGCCACGAACAGCTTTAGGATGAGGATGCTCGTGAGCATCGTTTAAGTGGCCCCTGTCCCCACTGGAGCGGCCTTGGCCACACTGGCCGATTTACCACCCTACATGGGGGTGTGTGTATGTATATAAATATACACACACACACACACACGTCGGCTGTTCCCTTTGAGCTTCAGGGGCATATCCCCAACTGGGGTGGTGGGATGCTGGGGATCGGGATGGAGATAGGGGATGGGGACAGGGATCGGCGAACCGACACTGAGCTCGAGAGGGAGACCCTGCCCCGCCCCCGCAGAGCAGAGGCACCAAGCATGGAATCCACCGCCTGGCAGGCGCGGGGAGGCATCGAGAGGGAGAGGGGAAGGGGGGAGAAATTCTGTGGCAGCTCACGGGAGCCTCCCATACCGTCCTGTTGGCTCGCAAATCGACGCTGGCCGATGCTGATCAACGCCAAATCGAAGCTCGTCGACGCTGATCGATGCTAAATCGACACTTCCTCATCGATTCCAAGACGCTGGCGCACGCTTATGTACTCTAGAGACGACATTGCGAGGACACAGAAGGCTACCATGGTTCGCGACCGAAGAAGAAAAAGAAGGACGACGATGACGAGAAAAGCGAGGAGCAGAAGCAGGTGCTTCCAGAGCACATCCAGCGCAGCGAGACCGCAGATGCCAGTTCACACTGCAAGCACTCGGCATTCTTTCCGGCCTTTCGGGCAATGGGGTAGTGGGCAGCAGCGCGGTCGCCTGGGATAGAAAATCCATGGGTGATCGTCTCGCATGTGCCGGCAGAGAGTGCAAGGAACGGCTTGAACGCCGAACCCCCAGGTTCATCGAACACTCTGGGTGATTCAGAGCATGGAAAGCGCGTATCGGGCACCTGCCTGGAGGTGGGCAGGCAACTGCGAACGGACCCGCGGAGGGCCTGAGGAGAGCTCGCCGCCGCCTGACGAAAGCACGTCCAGCGCCAGCGTCCGCCTGCACCCGCTCACCAAGAAAGGACCCGTAACCCTTCGGGAGGGGACCGAAGTTAGGAGGGCCAAAACATTAGGGACAGGGGGTCCTCTCTGCAGATGTACCCGGCCACAGCGCCCAGATCTGTCGTCCCCGATGTGAAGACGGGGGCCTCGGTGAGGCCACGTCTTCATCGTGCTATTAGGGTTAGGGGTCCCTTTGTCTAAGGGGACGACGACTGACATGAACATAAAAGCTCGGAGATCCGCGCGGATTTCTCGGATCCGCGCTGGACCCCCCTGCATGGCGCGCGGAGCGCGCCAGGGGTGGCGCCGGAGGCGCCGCCAGGGGGGTCCAGCGCGGATCCGAGAATCCGCCTGGACCTCCGAGCTTTTATGTTTATGTCATTGTTCGTTCCTCTATTGTTCTCAAGGATGCACTGCTCATGCTGCAGGCCCGCACTCGCCGGCGGGCAGCTGGCAGCACAGAGGCTCCACGGCACGGATCTGGTGCTGCCCAGGTGCCTGCCTCTGCCTAAACTCTCCGCCGCCTGCGTCTTTTGGAGGAGCGGAGGGCACGGATATCGGGGGTGGAGGCTGGCGGTGGACCAGACTAAAAAGGGGCCCAGGGACACACTCTCACACACACACACACACACACTCAAATCCCAGGATTCCCCAGATCTTCCTAGGTATTCTGGGTTTTCGTCTTCCCCCCAATTTCCCATATTTCCCCATATTTTCCTGGGGGTCGACGATGACTTGTGTCTGTTTTTTCCCCTACTGACAGACATCCGACGACGTGGGTTTTTCGTGGCGACGGCCGCCAGACCTCTCAACCCCTCCTTCGGGACTGGTGCTGCATCCGGGCGGGATTGAGCTCTGACGGCCCAAGGGCCTGGAACGGGCCTCCAGAGACCCAAAAACTTCGAAACAGTATCGCTTCGCGGGCGCCAAGGGTCTGGATCCCAAGCCGCACTGTCGACCTAGAACCCCATCAGGCGCCCCGCGAGAGGCGCACGAGACGCGCAGGGGGGGGGGGGCGCAACTCGCGCACGGGGGGGCGCAACTGCCGGGGGGGAGGTCGCAACCCAACCACGCTCGCGCTCGAGCGTTGCGCGGTTGCCTTGCGCCCCCCCCCCCGGCGCAACGCAACTGGGCCCGAGGAACACGCTCTCGTCAACAACAACAACAACAACAACAACAACAACAACAACAACAACCACAACAACAACAACAACAACAACAACAACAACAACAACAACAACAACAACAGCAGCAGCAGCAGCAGAAGCAGAAGCAGCGACAGCAACAGCAACAACAACAACAACAACAACAACAACAGTAGCAGCAACGACAACACCAAGAGCAGCAGCGATACCAACAAACAACAAGCAGCGGCAGCAGCAACGACAACAACAAGAACAACAACAACAACAACAACAACGACAACTGCAATCATGTTAAAACTGTTCGCTCTTATCTGCTCGAGTGTCCGTTAACGCGTATTTCCCAAACCCTCGATACCCACCCTAATCGTCTTCGATCGTACCCCTTTTGGGGGGTAAACCTTTCTTCTCTGCAGGCCCGGCCCCGGCAAGCGGCGGGGCGGCCGCGGACCGTCGGCCTGGCCAGCGGCAGCGCTGATCGGCGGCAACCCGACCGGCGGACAGGGGACCGACCACGACGACGACGACGACGACGTCGACGACGACGACGGCGACGACGACGACGACGACGGCGGCGACGACGAGCGAAAGCGAGAGTGAGAGAGAGAACGACAGCGGGGCCACCAAGGTCACAAAGTAGGCCACGAAGGGCGACAGCGGGGACACGAAGGGAATGCGTATGGGGCCACGAAGAGCGCGAACGAGCGGGACCACGAAGGGCAGATAATGCGGGGCCACAGAAGGCAACGACGGGGCCACCGAGGGTAGCAACTGGGCCACGTAGGACAGCGAGGGAGACACGAAGGGCGACAGCGGGGCCACGAAGGGCATGCACATGGGGCCACGACGGGCGCGAACGAGCGGGGGCCACGAAGGGCATACATACCTATACGACCACCCTTCGGGTGGTAAGGAGGTTCGGGGGGGGGGAGGAACCAACGTCTCACTCGATCGGTCTCACAATCGATCTGACTATCGATCTCACAATCGATCTCACTACCGATATCACAATCGATCTCACATTCGGTCTCAATGTCGATCTCACTATCGATATCACAATCGATATCACAATCAACGCCAACATCATCAGCATCATCAACATCATCGTCATCAACGTCATCAACATCATCATCATCATCATCATCATCATCATCATCATCATCATCATCATCATCATCATCATCATCATCATCATCATCATCGGGACACCACCATCACCACCTCATCACCATAATCATAAGTACCATCATCAACACCATCATCATCATCGGGACACCATCATCGTCACCAGCGTCATCAACATCATCGTCATCATCGGGACACCATCATCATCATCATCGAAGCACCACAATCATCATCTCATCATCATCATGAGCAACATCATCAACACCATCAGCGGGGCACCATCATCATCAGCAACATCATCATCAACAACATCATCATCATCGGGACACCATCATCATCGTCACCATCATGATCATCACCGTCATCATCATCGAGACACCATCATCATCATCAGCATCATCATCGGGCCTTCATCATCAAAATCATCAGCATCACCTCATCATCATCCTCATCACATCATCACCATCATCGGGACACCATCATCGTCATCATCAACATCATCATCACCGGGACACCATCATCATCACCATCATCATCATCATTAACAGCATCATCAGGATCACCAACATCGTCATCATCATCATCATCATCAGCGGGACGCCATCATCATCATCTTCTTCATCATCATATCATCATCTCATCATCATCAACATCATCAGGATCACCAACATCGTGATCATCGGGACACCATGATCATCATCATCATCATCAACATCATCAACATCATCAACATCATGATCGGGACACCACAATCATCATCTCATCATCATCATCATATCATCATCTCATCGTCATCAACAACATCAGGATCACCAACATCGTAATCATCGGGACACCATCATCATCATCAGTAACATCAGCATCATCAACATTATCATCATCGGGACACCATCATCATCACCACCATCACCATCATCATCATCGACATCGTGAACATCATCATCATCAGCATCATCACCATCGGGACACCATCAGCATCACCACCATCACCATCACCAGCATCATCATTATCATCGGGACACCATCAGCATCAGCAGCATCAGCAGCATCATCATCATCATCATCATCGTCATCATCATCATCATCATCATCCTCCTCCTCCTCCTCCTCCTCCTCCTCCTCCTCCTCCTCCTCCTCTTCCTCCCTCCTCCTCCCTCCTCCTCCTCCTCCTCCCCTCCTCCTCCTCTCCTCCTCCTCCTCCTCCTCCCTCCTCCTCCTCCTCCTCCTCCTCCTCCTCCTCCTCCTCCTCCTCCTCCTCCTCCTCCTCATCATCATCATCATCATCATCATCATCATCATCATCATCATCATCATCATCATCATCATCATCATCATCATCATCATCATCATCATCATCATCATCATCATCATCATCATCATCATCATCATCATCATCATCATCATCATCATCATCGGGACACCGACGGGACACCGGCGGGACACCGGCGGGACACCGCGGGCCACCGGACGCCAACTGGAATCACTTGGTCCGGCCGCGCCTCAGCCGGAGGCGGGACACCGGCGGGACACCGCGGGCCACCGGACGCCGGTCCGGAATCATTTGGTCCGGCCGCGCCTCAGCCGGAGGCGGGACACCGGCGGGACACCGCGGGCCACTGGACGCCGGTCCGGAATCATTTGGTCCGGCCGCGCCTCAGCCGGAGGCGGGACACCGGCGGGACACCGCGGGCCACCGGACGCCGGTCCAGAATCATTTGGTCCGGCCGCGCCTCAGCCGGAGGCGGGACACCGGCGGGACACCGCGGGCCACCGGACGCCGGTCCGGAATCATTTGGTCCGGCCGCTCCTCAGCCACAGGAGACTGTCTCCTCGCCCGCCCACGCAGCTTCGCCTCGCCCGCACGCACGGCACGCACGAGCACGGAACCCAAATCGATTTCCCGGTAGGGGGGCTCTCCGTTCCCCTTCGATCTCGCCCCCTCGGAGGGCAAAGACGGTGCCACTGAGGGCAGCAACGGGGCCACGAAGGGCAGCGAGGAGGCCACAAAGGGCGGCAGCGGGGCAACGAAGGGCAGCCTATGGGGCCACGACGGGCGCGACCGAGCGGGGGCCACGAAGGGCATAAATATATGGGGCCACGAAAGGCAGCGAGGGGGTCACGAAGGGCTGCAACGGGGCCACGACGGGCAGCGAGGGGGCCACGAAGGGCTGCAACGGGGCCACTGAGGGCAGCAACGGGGCCACGAACGGCTGTAACGGGGCCACGAAGGGCGAGGGGGCCACGAAGGGCTGCAACGGGGCCACGAAGGGCTGCAACGGGGCCACGAAGGGCTGCACGGGGGCCACGAAGGGCAGCGAGGGGGCCACGAAGGGGTGCAACGGGGCCACGAAGGGCTGAAACGGGGCCACGAAGGGCTGCAACGGGGCCACGACGGGCAGCGAGGGGGCCGCGAAGGGCTGCAACGGGGCCACGAAGGGCAGCGAGGGGGCCGCGAAGGGCTGCAACGGGGCCACGAAGGGCAGCGAGGGGGCCACGAAGGGCTGCAACGGGTCCACGCAGGGCAGCGAGGGGGCCACAAAGGGCTGCGACGGGGCCACGAAAGGCAGCGAGATCCCGTTTCCGAACTTATCTGTGAGGAAGTCCTAAACGTGAGCGCGACTCCTGGGTGCCTGAATGTCGGGAGCGCGGCGCTTGAGCAAATTACAAGAAAATCCAACGCAAGGGCGCTATTCTTACGTAAATTGCAAGCAAGTCTCCAGCGAGAGCGCAACTCCAGAGCGCCGAGAAAACGATACCTAAATACATTGTCAGGAAGTCCGAAGCGAGAGCGCGATTCCTGAATAAACTGCGAGGAAGTCTCGGGCGGGAGCGGGGGTCCTGGCTAAATTGTGAGGAAGTCTCAAGCGGGTGCCGTTTATGTTGTAACCCGGGGGCCAGGGGCACAGTTTGAGCACCAAGACTTTCCCTGTCAAAAAACAGGGTGCGAGTGTCGAGGGGCACACTTTGACTGAGAAAAAACAATATGCACCGGTGAGGGGGATCAACCATAATTATTCTTCAGAAGTGAGATTTCACCAACAACAGCAGCAGCAACAGCAACAACAACAACAACAACAACAACAACAACAACAACAACAACAACAACAACAACAACAACAATCATGTTAAGACTGCTCGCTCTTACTGGCACGCGTGTCTTGCATTCTGTACACCCCAGACCTCGATACCCGCCCACTTCGTCTTCGATTGCACCCCCTTTCGGGGGGAATATCTTCCGTGTCGGCCACTGACTGGAGTGCGAGGAAGTCTGGAGCGAGAGCGCCGTTCCTGAGTTCGGTGGCCTTCCTGGCCAGGCGCT